TGGACCAGGGCCAGGACCGGGCCGCCCCACCCCAGGCTGCCCCAGCCCTGGAGCTGGACCCCCGAGGGCTCCCGGGCCCTGCCCACTGAGGGCCGGTGAGGGCCTGCACTCACGGGCCGGGGGAGGACCCCTCCCCAGGAGGCACTCACAGGCGTGGGCCAGGGTGTGGCAGGGCTGTCCTGCTGTTGCCAGGGCGCCCAGAGGGAGTCGGTCTAGTTCCTCTGAGCCCTGGACGGGGCTGGTCTGAAGGGAGGGGTCTGACAGGGCCTTGGCTGGGGGCGTCAGGTGAATGCAGGTCCCCAGGAAGTGGGGAGTCTGGCCTCCGCCTCCCATCTGCCCAGAGACCCAGCTCCGTTCTTGAGGCAGAGCATGGTGGGTGCCCAGGACAGAACCCAGGGCGCTTTCCATGACCCCCATGGAGAACTGGGATGGGGGAGGCCCCCTGGCTTGGAAACGGCTCCCTGGAGGAGGTGCCCTTTCTGCTGGGCCTGAGAGATGGGGGCAGGGGGCATGGGCAGCAGCGAACTTCTCACGTTCTCCCCTCTTTGAGAGCCCCTCCCGGGGAGCTGCTGTGCAGGTGTGCACACTGTCTCTGGTCTGTGTCCCTTTAAACTTAGCCCGGAACGCAGAAAGCCAGCGGGGGGCTTGGCAGGTCACAGGTCAGCCGCTCTGCAGCTTGCCTGCCCCAGCTGCGAGGACCCAGGTGACCAGAGCTTTGGGGGTCATGTGGACTCTACCAGGTTTGACTTTGGGAAGGGCTGGGCCTTGGTGATCTGGAGCCCTTTGGGCCAGTTTTCAAAAGGCTGTTTTGGAGCTCAGGAGGCTGGGCTTCTACAGCAGGGATGCAGGTGTAGAGAGCCGTGAGCACAGGGAAGGTCTGTCTCCTCGGTTTCTCCATCCATCCTCTGTCCTTCATGCGTCCACCCACCTTTCATCCACATATCCTCCCTCCCTCCCTCCCTCTTTCCCTTCCTCCATCCACCCTCCATTCATGAACTCATCTCGCCATCCATCATCCATTCACCATCTTTCCGTCCATCCATACACCCATCCTCTGTTGATTCACCCATCTTCCATCCATGCATTCTTCCTCCCTCCCTCCCTCTTTATCTTCCTCCATCCATCCACCCGTCCATCCATGTATCCATCACTCCATGTATCATCCATCTACCATCTTTCCATCCATCTATCATCTTTCCATCCATCTATCATCTATTTGTGCCCTCTCTCCCTCCCTCTTATATTCATGGATCTATCTATGCCTTTATTATCTGTTATCCATCTATTGATCTATTACATCTCACCCTTTTTACTGGACAACTGGACATGAGTTAAAACACACCTTATTTCTCATTAGATTATGAACTTTGAGCGCAGAGTCCACATGTCTCTAGAAGCCCTAAGAGGCATAGTACGGAGCAGGCTCCCAGGAAACCTTCGTTGGATGAATGAACGCATTCAAAAACAACCGGACTCTTGTATTAAACCCGTCGCTCTGAAAAGATCCGTTGCTCACCCTCCCGGAGGACTGGCGAGTTTGGGCTTTAAGTCAGCTGTGGCGCCGTGTTTGCATTGCAAGCGGGTGGGCCCGGTCCACTGCGTGGGTTCTTCTCGTGTGTGACGGTGGCCTGGCGGACAGGCAGTGCTGGATACGTGAGGGGAGGACGGGAGGACGGAAGGACGGGATGTGTGTGGAGAGGCTGTTAGGGGGCAGGGTGGGCTCAGGGAACAGACCCCAGGTCAGGCACTCCGCAGCCAGCCTCCAGGACCAGAGATGGGCAGGTGCGGGCAGGGCGGGGGCTGCCTCGGGGGTGAGGGGCGTGAGAATTCCAGAGGGGCCCTTCCCACCAGCCCCGGAGAGTCAAGGGACTGGGGGCTCTGGGCCTTGGGGTGTTTGGGACTGGAGTCACCCCCAGCTCGCCAGCTGGCCCAGGAGGGAGTAGTTGGAGGAGTGGAGAGTCTGCCCAGCTAGGGGAGCAGCTGGTGCAGGAATGGCCCAGCGGCGAGTCAGACTCTGGTCTGGAGGTGCTGCCCGATGGCCCACTCGGCCCAGGCAGTGGCCTCCGCGGTGGGAGCTCCCGCGGCTGCCCAGGGGTCCCGGGGGGACAGTTGCCGCACTGGAGATGGTGACAGGTCTAAGGATACCTGGTGGGCCGGGGCTCTGCCCAGAGGCTCCAGTCTTCGGCGGCTTGGGCTGAGGAGGGAAGGGGCCCCAACATTGGTGATCCAGGGTGTGGGGTGCAGAACCCCCGGCCGCCCCCCATGGCTCCTTGGCCTACCCTCGACAAGCCCTGTGGCCCCCACTGGCACGGGCGTTGGGCGGGCAGGGGGCAGGGAGCGTGGTCAGCGAGCCCTCATGGGGTGGGGCTGCCTGCAGGAAGGACCAGGCTTCTGGCTGTGCAGGGCCTGGGCTCTGCCGCTTCCCGCCCTCCCACCATCCCACCCAGGCTCCCATGGGCCTGCGGATGAGGTGCGAAGACCTGAGCTCCCCAGAGTCTCCACTCGCTCCCAGGCAGGCGCCCCGGGGCTGGGCCGCGTCTGATGCTTCTGCTCCGAGAGGTATCCACAGCAGGTGCCCGGGGGCCGCGGCAGTCACCACTGGTAACAACGGTCCCCAGGCCGCCCGTCTGTGGCGGTCAGGCGGCCCTGGGCAGGAGGGCCCGGGCAGACAGGCTGTGCTGAGGGGCTCAGGTCTTGCCTCCAGCTGTGGCCAGGGTCCTGGGCTGGGTGTGCCTTTGCGGACAGCTCTGGGTCAGCCCTGGACAACCAGGAGGGAGTGCTGTAGATGTGGGTGACCTGGGGGCTGGCAGGGGCCTGGCAGCGAATGCAGGGGGTGCTGGCCCCCCGGGATGGGATGCTGGGTTCGCAAGAGGCTCAGGACCTCGGTGGCTTACCCCTCTGTCCTCCTAGGAATGGACGGCCTGGGCTGAGAGCGGCCATTTGACAGACCTGGCCCCCAGGTCCATGAAGTGGGGGTCGCCCCACTCCCAGGGCCGTTGTAAGGAGAGGCACACCTTCTCTCCAGGACCTGCCCTGGTGGGGGCCCCGCGTTGTTCCTAGATGGGCACAGACCTGAGCCCACCCCGGCCCTGAGAGCCCCAGGAGGGGCCACCTGCCGCCCTCCGGCCCCCAGGGAAACACCCTGGGCTCGAGGCTACCTCGAGGGACGGATGGCTGTCTCCCAGGGTACGCACCCCGTGGGAATAGATGGGGTCCCTGCATCCCCCAAACTGGGCTCTGCCCTGGGAAGGAGGAGAGCTGAGGGGGTTGGGTGGGCTGCGGGACGCGGGGACGGGTTGGGTGGGGGCCCGGCGGTGGCCTGGCCCTGTCGGTTGCCCGCTGGGCGCGGTCGCCCGCTGTGGGAGCCGGGCCCCGGCCTGCGTGGGTGCCTGGTGAGCGGGGGGCCTGGGCACAGCCCCTCCCCCACTGCGCCTCCCCTCCCCCACAGGCTGGGCCCTCAGACATCCCGCCCGCGTGAGTGAAGGGCCAGCGTGCGTCTGTGTGTGTGTGCATGGGCACACGCGTGAGTGTGCACGTGGGTGTGTGTTGGCTGGAGGCCCCGTGTCCTCAGGCCTGGCCCCGGTTATCATTATGGCGACAGTGGAGATACAGAGCTGAGGTGGGACTGGGCAGGGGTCTGGGGGAGCCCCCACCTGTGGGGTGTTGGGGGGCTCTCGGACCCCCTGAGCCCTGCCTGCTCCTGGAAACTGGGGCGACCCTGTTCTGCCTGGCCCCACGCCTCCCCTCAACAGGTTCTCCTCCCCCTCCCTGGCACCTGTTGACCTCTGACCCCTCCCATCCCTCTCCCAGCACCCAGGAAGCCAATGCCTCCTCCCCGTTGCTCTGGGCCACTCTGAGTCCAGAAACGGGGCCAGGTCTCCCCCGCGTGGCCACCTGACCACACTGCAGGGCAGTCCCGGATCTTGTCTGCAGCCCTAGTCACTCCCTCCCTAATTGCATGTATATGTGTGTACCTGTTTTTATGCATACATACGTGTGCCCAATTGTACACATACATGTGTGTGCCTGTTTGTATGTATACATACGTGTGCCTGTTTGTGTGTATACACCTGTGTACCTAGTTGTATGTATACATGTGTACCTGTTTGCATGCATACATATGTGTACCTGATTGCATGCATACATGTGTGTGTACACGTGTGTGCCTGGTTGCATGTATACACATGTGTACCTGATTGTATGTACACACCGGTGTACCTAGTTGTATGTATACATGTGTGTATGACAGAGACAGGGAGATTGTTGAACTGGCCCCAGGCGAGCTGGGCTGCAGCAGCAGGACGCAGACGGCCCGCCCTAAGCTGGACCGGCTCAGCCCCCAGACCAGCACCCAGCCCGGCCCAGGCCCGCCCCACGTGGGCCAGGTGGGCACACGCCCGTGCGGCCTTATCACCTGGAGGTGAGGATGGACGCCACTCGCCCCCACCACCCCCACCCTGACGCATCCTCCCCCAGGTGCCAGAGGAAGCCTCGTCCGGGGGGTCCGAAGGCTGGGTCCCGCCCCGCTGCCTGCCCTGAGGACCCCCGTTTTCTCACCTGTCAAGTGAGAGTGATGCCAACAGAGCCCCCAGGGGGTGGTGGTACCCTCACACTCCTAGGACTGGCGGGGTGGGGAAGCGAGGGGAGGCCTGCCTTGCTCAGGTCAGGTCAGGATCGGCCAGCTTGGCTGGCGGGGCTGTGGGGGGGTCCCTGGGCGAGAGCCGGGTAGCGGGTCTTCCTAGTGCCGTTCACAACAGGTCAGAGGCCTGAGGGTGGTCTCCTGCTCCTTCCTGCGTGTCTGGCGCTGGTTCTGACCTGTGCTGCTGACGCCATCCTGAAAAGCAGCACCTGCAGACCCCCAGTGTAGCGGGCGTGGGGAGGCTGGAAAGACTGCAAACCCTCCTCCAGCCCTGGGACCTGAGATCCGGGGACCCAGGCTCCACCACGGTTCAGCCCAATGCCCGTGGCCTTGCGCCCCGGAGGAGCCCAGACATCTCCCCTTAGACCGCTGGGCAGGGCTCTCCTGACACCCAGGCGCCTGCCAGACCCTCCCGCGGGCAGGGCGGCCCGTCTTCTGCCCAGACACCCCCTACCAGGGGCGGCCTCGGCGGCGCAAGAGGGAGGCCACGCCGCTGATGGCCACGAGGGGGCGGCAGCGCACAGGGAACGCCGGGAGGGCGGGGCCACGAGGGCGGGGCTGAGCGCCGGGCCGAGGCGGCTCCGGCGCCGAGCCTGGGCCCCAGGGCGCCGGCCGCCAGGTGGGCGGCGAGGCCCGCGTGTGAGCTGCTGCGGTCCACGGGGCAGGCCCCGGGAGGACCGGGGGCGCTGGGGGAGCCCGAGGAGCCCGGCCCAAGGCTCTCACCCAGCGCGCGCGCGCACGCACGCGCCCCCATCTTCCCGGCAGCGCCCACCAGCTCAAGCTCACGGACCCCAGCGTGCACGCAGAGTCCCCCCAAGGACCAACCACACACAGCCCACGCGGACACACCCACTGCACACGCCCCTTACAGACACACCCACTGCACACGCCCCTCATATACCCACAGACACCCCACACACAGCCCACGCGGACACACCCACTGCACACACTCCTCATATACCCACAGACACCCCACACACAGCCCACACGGACACACCCACTGCACACACTCCTCATATACCCACATCCCCCCACACAGACACACCCACTGCACACGCCCCTCATACCCACAGACACTCCACACACAGCCCACGCGGACACACCCACTGCACACACTCCTCATATACCCACAGACACCCCACACACAGCCCACGCGGACACACCCACTGCACACACTCCTCATATACCCACATCCCCCCACACAGACACACCCACTGCACACGCCCCTCACACCCCCACAGACACACCACACACAGCCCCCCCACACACACCCACTGCACACACCCCTCATATGCCCACAGACACCCCACACACAGCCCACACGGACACACCCACTGCACACGCCCCTCATATACCCACAGACACCCCACACAGCCCACGCGGACACACCCACTGCACACACTCCTCATATACCCACATCCCCCCACACAGACACACCCACTGCACACGCCCCTCATATACCCACATCCACCCACACAGACACACCCACTGCACACGCCCCTCACACCCCCACAGACACACCACACACAGCCCACACACACACACCCACTGCACACACTCCTTACAGACACACCCACTGCACACACTCCTTACAGACACACCCACTGCACATGCCCGTCATATACCCACAGACACCCCACACACAGCCCACGCGGACACACCCACTGCACACACTCCTCATATACCCACATCCCCCCACACAGACACACCCACTGCACACGCCCCTCACACCCCCACAGACACACCACACACAGCCCCCCCACACACACCCACTGCACACACGCCTCATATACCCACATCCCCCACACAGACACACCCACTGCACACGCCCCTCACACCCCCACAGACACCCCCTACACAGCCCCCCACACACACCCACTGCACACACCCCTCATATGCCCACAGACACCCCACTCACAGCCCACACACACACACCCACTGCACACGCCCCTCATATACCCACATCCCCCCACACAGACACACCCACTGCACACGCCCCTCACACCCCCACAGACACCCCACACACAGCCCACACACACACACCCACATCCCCCCCACACCCCCCCACCCCCCCACACACATATCCACACCCACCCACACTGACAGACACCCACACACACCCACCAACAGACACACACACCCTCCCACACACACACACACCCACACCCACGCAGTTCAGAGTATGGCAGGGCCCAGGATCCCAGAGGCCGTTTGCCCAGGGGTAGGCGCGCGGGGCTGAGGTGCAGGGGTCACTGCCTCGGGCGGGGCAGGGCCCTCGCCTTGGACAGCCTTAGAAGGGGGCAGCATTGGGAAGAAGGGCCCCCTAGTTGACCGCTTGTCCTCCCTGGGACTCAGGGGATCAGAGCCTCGCTGTGGCCTGGGGCTGGCGACAGCCAGCGGGCATGGGCTCGGTCCCCGCCCCGAGCCGCCGCCCCGGCCTTTGCCTTCTGTTCCTGCCCCTCGCTGTGCCCGCCTGGGCCTCTCCTGCTCCCGCCACCCCGGCCCCCGCCCCCGGCCCCCGCTGCACCCCGTCCGCTGCTCCCCCCGCCCTTCCTCCCGTCCCCCCGCTGCGGTTCCTGGTGGAGGAGCTGCGTCACCTGCCAGGGTGACACAAACCAGGGCCAGCGGGTGGAGGGCCGGGAGCGGAGTGGCTCCGAGGTGCCCGCAGGCAAGGCCGGGACGTGGATCAGGAGGGCGCGCCACGTGGCCCGTGCCTGCAGCAGCGGGACAACTGTGGGGGGGGGGTCACTAGGCGCTGTGAGCCGACTCAGAGCACCACCATCACCCGCCAACGCCCCGCAGCAGCCCTCAGGGTCCCTGAGATGGGGCTGCCGGGGCCCTTTCCTGAATGGCGTCAGAGCTGGCCATCCACACCTGGGAGGGGCCCACGGGCCTGGGGCTGGGCCTGCCCCCACCTCTCCCGGGCCTGCAGCCAGACCGCCGTCACTGGCGCCCCCTCACCCTCAGTGGGCAGGGGCTGTGGCTGACCCCGGGGAGTGAACAGGGAACGGGGAGGGGAGCCCCTGCCCGCCACCAGCCCCCATGAGCCCCACTTGCCCGGGGGGCTTGGCAAGATGCCCCTCCCCTCGTCAGGAAGGGGTGCATTTGCAGGTGCCGGGCCTCCCTTGCTCCTGCGGGCCATGCCCAGTTGGGTGGGAGCTGGGGACAGGCCTCCTGGGCAGGGACCCTCAGCCCACAGGGGCCTGCACCGGGCACAGGCTGGGCGGCTCCTTGCAGGAACACCGCTGCCCAGGGCTCCAAGGCTCCAGTCATAGCCACCTCCTCCCTGCAGTGGAAACAGCCACCTTGGTGGTGGAATATGGGCGCTGGGATGGTGGGAGCCCTGGCCTCTGGGTGGGGGCCCGTAGAAAGTGGGTTCGAATTCCACCTGGAGGGGATGGCCCGTGGGGTACAGGCGGCATTCTCTCTGAGAGAGCAGACTGCCCTCAGCCAGGGCCCTCCATGCCGGGGATTTATTATCAGTTCCCTGGGGTCACAGTCAACACCAGCGTCCACTGAGCACCGCGTCTGGGCCCTAGGACAGCCCATCGCCTCCTGCCTTAAAGAATAAGGATAAGAAGCGGGAAGAGCTGAGGCCCAGCTGCCCCCTCCCCCAGGGGGATATAGCACCACCCTGAACAGGGGTGCCTCTCTACCCCCTGCACATGGGGCATCCCACGGAGCACCCCGGGCTACCTGGGCCCCTGTGAGCTGGTACACATTTTGTCCGTCTGTATTAGAAGTATCTATTATTTTCTCCTTCATGCGTTTCTGTACCTTTTCAGTTTTTCTAATGGCCACAGATTATGTTTGTCATCAGGAAACATTAAAAGAGGCATACGTGTGAGAAAGAGGGGACGGAGGAAATCCGGTCCCTCTCTCTGCCCCTGCAGAGGGGCTCGGGGCCCAGCTCTGAGGACCGTGGGGAGCTCGGTGCAGACCCGGGCAGGGTCATCTTCTCCCCAGCCAGCCCCTGTGCTCACGGCTCCAGCACACCCAGGCGGCCCAGGCGAGATGCTCTGGGCTTTCTCAGAACCGAAGAGGCACCGCCAGCCTGGGGCGGGGGGCTGGATTTCCATGTTCCTGCAATGATTCCCCAGAGCATGTGTGAGGACTCAGCAGTCTGGGCTCCACGTGGCCCTGGCGCTGATCCTGGACTGATAAAGGGGAAGATAGCCGCTTGCCCTGACCGTTAATGTGCAGCTGTTTCCTTAGATACCGGGTGAATGTGCGTCACGAGATGGGCAATTTCCAAGCCTCTTTAAGCAGCGGTTCGGGTGAAATCAGCCCCTCACCTTCAGGGCAGCCGGGGGCCGTGTTCCCCAGTGTCCCCTGGGTGGTTTGTGGGCACGCTGGGCCAGTTCGATCGTGCAGGCAGGTGGCGGCAGGTGCGATGCCCTGTGGGTCCTGCTCTCAGATGACGCTGAAGACTCTCGGGAGGAGAAGATGCTCGAGCTGGCGCGGGGCGCAGATGGGCAGGACAGCTACGTGGGGGCTCAGGCCAGGCCGCTATTTGTTCTAATTTTGTTCACTTTGCTGTGTAACAGGAGACAGCACGTCAGTATTTAGAAAATCAATAAATGGTCCCGACACTTTTAATGGAAAACACAATAAATAGAAGCTGATCCTGACGGGTTGGAGCGACAGCGCTCTGCGCCCTGCCCGCCGAGCTCCGGGCTGTGTCTGCCCTGGCGGGGAGTTGAAACCCTAATCAAATCAGAGCTGGTGCCTGGAGGCTGGCAGCCCGCATCCCTGAACCCAGGGAAGGGCCCATCCTTCCCTCCCTGCCCCCATCTGTGACCCCGACAGTGTCCCCTGCAAGGAGAAGAGGGCAGGGAGGGGCTCCGTCACCTGGCCCCTGGGGAGTCAGTCTGGGGCTCTGTTACAGGAACCCCCTGCCCTGGGAGGCCATTCTACTGTCAGGGGGGCCAGCCTAGGGGGCCCTACACTCCGGGCGGGCCTTGTGCAGCCAGATGGGGCCTTTCTCCAGCAGAGGGGGTCCAGGCTGCCAGGGTCCTGCCTCCCTGACCCCTCACTGGACCCCCGGGGAGGGAGAAGGGTCCCCTGACCACGGTGACCTGGCCCCACGGTGAGGGCAGGAGGGCCCCGCAGCTGCCCGGCTCCTGGGAGCGTGGCCAAGAGAAGGGCAGCTCAGCCCTCCCGCTGACCTCGGCCATTGCCCTGGGCTTGCTGACCGGATGTGAACCTCCAAATGGGCCAAAGAAAGTGAGCATGAAGTTAAGCCCTCTTTCCCCTCCGTATGTTGGAGTAGGGCACCCAGGCACCTCACAGAATCCAGAGCAGGGTTCTGGTGGACAGGCCCCTCCCCCGGGACTACACCTGGCGGGTCGTCCCCCGCAGACCTTGCGGAAGGACCCTCGGGCGCCTGTGTGCGCACACATGCACACATGCTTCGGTGTTAATCTCCTTAGGAGCTTATCACAAAGAGCAGGCCCTCCGAAGCCGGCCCCAGGCGTCCCCCCAGCACTGATCTGTGGGCCGATCGTCAGGCCAGCCCACAGCCTCCCTTCCTCTGCAGCTCCGAGGCCACCCTGGGTCAGCAGCGCCTCCAGGGACATGAGTGACTGGAGGCTCTTCTTTCCTCTCTGGAGCTGGTGACTTTTCCCGGAGGACTGAGCCAGGTGGAGGCGCTGCGTCACTGATGATTTGGAGAAATGTCAGAGTGGTCCCAGTCTGCGCGGCGCCCACCTCCCCCTGCCCAGAAGCCCAGGGAGGGACGGCTGAGAAGGCCTT